GGGATTGTCTCCATTTGCTTCTGTGGGGTGTCGATGGGGAAATATGCTTTTATGAATCTCTCACAAAGAGCGCAAGTTGCTGCGCGATGTAGGTAGACGCTAAACCCTAAACCCTAAACCCTAAACCCTAAACCCTAACTCTATCCTGCGTGTTCGCTCTCCGTGGTTCTCCGGCAAGGCTGCTGTCGTGAGCCTTTGGCTGCCGACGTCTGAGAGTTCCCGCCCAATGTCTTGGGATTCAGGGTTTAGGGTTTAGGGTTTAGGGTTTAGGGTTTAGGGTTTGCGTCGCAGCGGTTTTTGGGGCGCTCGCGCTGCTGTCGGAATGCCTCTCTTTTGTCTTTCTTGGCCTCGCCCCCTTTTCTTTCGATTTGCTGCCCCTCAAAGAAGCCTTTTTGTTTCTTTCGGGCGGTGCTGCTGCAGTTGTAGCCGCACGGTACCCCAAACCCTAAACCCTAAACCCTAAACCCTAAACCCTAGACGGGACTCAAGCCCTCAACCCGCTCCCCCACAGCGAGCACAAGGCAATTTTGACCCCAGAAATCCGTCCCCTGTTGCTACGCACTTGAGCCCTCACCGACTGGAGTAGGGTTTAGGGTTTAGGGTTTAGGGTTTAGGGTTTAGGGTTTTGGGGTTTGCAGGGCGCTGAGCGTGTACTTAATTTGCTTCCTGATGAACTTCTTTAGAGGCCGCAAGCGGCTGTCTTTGAAGGAGCAGCACGCGGTGGCTCTTTGCGGGCTGAGGGGTACAGTCGGTGGGCACAAACCCTAAACCCTAAACCCTAAACCCTAGACCCCAGTGAGGAAGGGGCTGCGTGGGCGTTCCTTCGCTCTGCCTCATCGCCGTGCCAGTTCAAGATCTAGGGTTTAGGGTTTAGGACCTTGGCTTTCGTTTTGACCCGAAGTGTGGGGTCTTGGCCAGGAGCTAGGGTTTGGGGTTTAGGGTTTAGGGTTTAGCGTTTTTGCGTGCAGCCTTTGCGCTGGCGGAAAGGGCTCAGCATGACTTTGGGGGCCGAGAGGGACAGGCCATCCTGACGTTCACTTTAGTAGTGTGTCTGTCGTCAGTGCTTCTGTTGAGTAAGATTAGGGTTTAGGGTTTAGGGTTTAGGGTTTAGGGTTTAGGGTTTGTAGGGCTTGAGCCTGGGAGCCAGCGGCACATTGACTCTTGATTCGTCCGCCCTCCTGCTTGGCGTTATTTCGCGGAGAAGGCAACTTCAAAAGCTAGGGTTTAGGGTTTAGGGTTTAGGGTTTAGGGTTTAGGGTTTGGGCGTCTTTGGCACAGCGCCGGCGCTGTTGTTCGCGCTGCGGCCTCTGGGGGTTTTCGCGGACGACTTTGAAGAAGCTGACGGAGCTGCTGCTGCTGGGGAGCTGCCGCTGCACAGCAGCAGCAGCAGCAGCAGCAGCAGCAGCAGCAGCAGCAGCGGGCCAGCAGAGCTGACCAACCAGCAGCAGCAGCAGCAGCAGAGGAGCGTCTGGTGTAAAAACAACTGCTGCGAATACCTGCGGCGACGGCTGCGTCTGCTGGATCGAAAGTGTGTCTTAAGAAAAGAGGTTTAGGGTTTAGGGTTTAGGGTTTAGGGTTCAGAATTAGGGTTTAGGATGTGGGGTTCACAATAAGGTTTCAGGGTTTTGGCCTACAACTAGGGTTTAGGGTTTAGGACTCAGAATTAGGGTTTCTTTTCTAGAACAAGGGTTTCGCGCCTAGGGTTTAGGGCGAGGCTTTTGTTTCCCCATTTGTTAGGATTTCTTCAGTTAATCCAGCTGCCTACAATTTAGGGTTTAGGGTTTAGGGTTTGGGGCTGCTGCTGCTGCTGGGGTGTATGTACAGCTACCTGACGCCCTTTTTCGCAAGTCCCTTGAGACCTCGTGGGCGGCCGGGAGAAGCAGCAGTTGAGCTGCAGCAGCTAACTGCAGAAGAGAAGCAGCAGCAGCAACAGCAGCAGCAGCAACAGCAGCAGCAGCAACAGCAGCAACAGCAGCAGCAGCAGCAGTTGCCGCTGCAGCGACGACGGGGCCATGAGGTGTATCTACATCTTCCGCAAGCCACAGAAGCTGAGGGGCCTCTTGCTGCTGAAGATTTGGCTATTGGCGAGCCGCTGCAGCAGCAGAAGTCTCTGCCGCCGCAGCAGCAACATGAACAAGAGCAGCAGCAGCAGCAGCAGCAGCAGCAGCAGCAGCAGCAGCAGCGCTCCGCTCTGTTCGAGCGGTTGGAAACGAAGCAACAGATGTAGCAGCAGCTTTTGCTGCAGCAGCTTGCTTTTCCGCTGCAGCACACAGCTGAGAGGTTTGAGCAGCAGCAGCAGTTGCTGCTGCTGCCGTTTTTGCTGCTGTTGTTGCTGCCGTTTTTGCTGCTTTTGCTGCTGCTGCTGCAGCCCGTGCCTTCGGGCGATCAGCTCTCAGCCCCTTTTGCATTGCGCCCACAAGCAGCGGCAGCAGCAGCAACAGCAGCTGCTGCAGCAGCAGCAGTTGCTGCTGCTGCTGATGGGCACTTGCACTTCACTTTTCAGGTGTACGTACACCTCATTCTCGGGCCGGAGCAGCCAGCAGCAAGAGCGCTGCGCTGCAGTGTCTGTACACTCCAAGATGGCCCCATTTTGTATTATTACTTTCCTTTTTTCGTCTTTAGTTTTCTATTCTTTGCTGCTGCTGCTGCTGCTGCTGCTGCTGCTGCTGCTTCTGAAGTCCAACATTCTTTTGCTGCCGATCCCAAACTCGGGGGGCTGGCTGCTTGCTGCTGCTGCCCAGAACTAAGATATAGAACTGCCGTTGCTGCTGCAGCAGCTGCTGAGCAGCAGCTGCTGCCTGCTGCAGCAGCAGCTGCTGCTGCCACGTGCAGTGGTTTTTGCTGCGCTGCGCTACAGCTTCGGCACTGTGGGGAGTGAAGGGCCCTTCTGTCCTGAGCTTTGCTGCTGCCGCGCTGTTGCTGCTGCTGTTGTTGCTGCTGCTGCTGCTGCTGCGGCTTTCACTTGCGGCGGCCAGCAGCACTCCACAGCTTGCTGCAGCCTAAACCCTAAACCCTAAACCCTAAACCCTAGGCCTGCCCAGAGGGAAGACCCCACAGGGCAGCCCCAGCAGCAGCACAAGTTTGCTGATTTTGTTTTTCTATTTGCTGCTTCTGTTCGGCCGTCTAGTTTGTTTGAAGCTGCTGCTGCGCAGGAGCTTGTTTGCTGCAGCTGTGCATGCACAGCTGCTGCTGCTGCTGTTACATCTACTGCTGCAGACGCAGCGGCAGCGGAAGGCCTGCTGCAGCTGCTGCGGCAGCTGCTGCTGCTGCAGCAGCAGCTGCAGCAGGGCTGCGGGCGACGGCGCTCTCTTGGAAGCAGCGCAGCAGCCAGAGTCCTCAAGCTGCTCCTCTTGAATGGTCTGAGGCAGCGGAAGCGAGGCAGCAGCAGCAGAGCAGCAGCAGCGAGTCAGCAGCAGCAGCAGAGCAGCAGCAGCGAGTCAGCAGCAGCAGCAGGACTGCCGACTAGTTGTGTCGTGGCTGCAGTGGGGTGAATTTGCCAAGACACAGCCGAGGCGCTGCGGCGGGCTGCTGACAGCAGCAGCAGCAGCAGCAGCAGCAGCAAGCTCTTGTTATTGGCGGGTCTTGCTCGAGACTAAATTTGAAAACAAATAAAGTGGAACAAATTTCTGCGAAGTAATAAAACGAAGTGTTTAGCAAAAGGTGAGCGGCTGCAGCCTCGGCTGCATGAGAGCATCGCCTGCTGCGCTGCTGCTGCTGCTGCTGAGACCGCCAGCCAGCAAACTAAAATAAAGGCGGAGGCCGAAAAGAATAAGAAAAGGAAGTCAAATGAATTAAAAAAGCGCGAAAGATAGCGGGCCTTTTGCTGCAGACAAGTTTTAAATAAGTGGAGTGAGAGCAGCAGAGGCGCCTGCTGCGTTCAGCGCTGCGGTGTACGGACAGCTCGCGAAGATTGCGGTGTCAGGGGAGAAATTGAATTTGTCTTTTTGTGCAGAATTCAAAAAAGTCAAAAGGGCTGAAGAGGCATTTGTTTTTTCTTTTGGTTTGCTTCCTTTTGGCCCTCGCGGCTGCGCGCCGGCTGCTGCTCACAGCCTGCGTCTGCTGCTGCTTCCCGTGTCATCTTCTTTCTTTCTTGCTTCCGACTTGTTCTTTTTTTTGAATTTCTGAGTTGTCTTTGGCGCTGCGGCGCCTCTGCAGTCTTTGTGCCCGTCGTTGTGCTGCGGCGGCTCGCCGCGGCGCCCTGCTGCTGCCGCTGCCGCTGCCGCTGCCGCTGCTGCTGCTGCTGCTGCTGCTGCGCTGCTGCCTCTTCCCCTTGACTTCTGCTGCTCCTGCCCCACAATGGAACACCTCAGCGGCCCCCAAATGGCCTCCGAGACCGCCAGCACTGCCAGCGGCGACGGCAGCAAACTCGAGTCTCAGATGTACCACCAGCTGCGCAAGCTGATCAACGTGGTGGTAGGTCCCTGCTGCAGCAGCAGCAGCAGCAGCAGCAGCAGCAGCAGCCGCGGCTGCAGCAGCAGCAGCAGCTGCCGCCGCCGCAGCAGCAGCAGCAACTGCAGCAGGGGCTGCTGCTGCTTTCCACCGCGGCTCTTCCCAGTTTGACCGTGGTCTCGCCAGCTGCTGCAGCAGCAGCAGCTGCTGCTGCTGCTGTGCTGCTGCTGCTGGTCCTTTCTGCTTCCCGACAAAACCCGCGGCCCCTTCTGGAGGCCCCTGGGGTGTACAGACACCGGGGGCCCTCCGGAGGTGTCCATACACCTGACGCCCGCGGCGCTTCTTGCTGCAGTTTTGCGTCCCTCCCGTTGCTGCTGCTGCTGCTGCTGCTGCTGCTCTGAGTGGCCTTGCAGCTGCTGCTGTTTGCTGCTGCAGGATGAGCTGCGGGACTGCGGAGTGCAGCAGTGGATTCAGCTGCCAAGGATTTGCGTCTTGGGGACACAATCAGCAGGTAAGCATTTTTCGTTTTTAAAACTTCTTTCCTTTTATCCATTTGCTTCTCTCTTGCTGCTGCTGCAGCAGCAGAGTTGCTGCTGCAGCAGCAGAGGTGCTGCCGCTGCAGCAGCAGACACGCGATCTCCACTCGCCGTCGCTCCCAATGCCCCCCTGCTGCTGCAGGGAAAAGCTCTGTTTTGGAGGCTATTGTGGGGGTGGACTTTCTGCCCAGAGGCGACGGCGTTGTCACCCGCAGGCCGCTGGAGCTGCGGCTGGTGCATCTTCCCGAGTGTACGTACACCCCACGGCCCGCAGCAGCAGCAGCAGCAGCAGCAACAGCAGCAGCAGGGGTAGCAGCAGCAGCAGGTGCAGGTGCAGGCTGCGGCAGCTGCTGCGGGTGCTGCCGCGGCGCGCGCCGCGAGTGGGCGCGCTCGACGCTGCTTTCCATGGGTCGATTCGCCGCTGCTGCTGCTGTTGCTGCTGCTGCTGCTGCTGCTGCTGCTGCTGCAGCTGAGCACTCTCCGGAAGAAGCCTTCGCGGTTTTCGACTCTGCGAAGGACAAGAAGTTTCGAAACTTCGATGAAGTCCGGAGAGAAATAGAGCGCCTCACGGACGAGGTCGCAGGTCAGAGCCTTTGCTGCTGCTGCTGCTGCTGCTGCTGCTGCTGCTGCTGCTGCTGCTGCTGCTGCTGCTGTTTGCCTCACGCGACTGCGTTTTGCTGCTGCGGCATCCCGCTGCCTCCTCGCCGCGCGCGCCCTGCGCACCCGGCGCTGCGCCGCAGTCCCGCATCACCCTCGCCGCCGCTGCTGCTGCTGCTGCTGCTGCTGCTGCTGCTGCTGCTGCTGCTGCTGCTGCTGCTGCTGCTGCTGCAGCTGGAAGAACAAAGGCATAGTGGACTCGCCCATAGTCCTCACAGTCTACGCCACCAGGTGCCCCGACTTGTCCTTAATTGACCTTCCCGGAATCACTCGAGTGCCCCTCAAAGGCAGCGACCAGTCCGACGACATCGAGGCCCTCACCAGGCCCGCATCACCCTCGCCGCCGCTGCTGCTGCTGCTGCTGCTGCTGCTGCTGCTGCTGCTGCTGCTGCTGCTGCTGCTGCTGCTGCAGGGAAGAACAAAGGCATAGTGGACTCGCCCATAGTCCTCACAGTCTACGCCACCAGGTGCCCCGACTTGTCCTTAATTGACCTTCCCGGAATCACTCGAGTGCCCCTCAAAGGCAGCGACCAGTCCGACGACATCGAGGCCCTCACCAGGCAAATGGCTCTCAGGCAAGTACCCTTTACAGGGGCCCCAGGGGCCCCCAGGGGCCCCCAGGGGCCCCCAGGGGTCCTTTGGGGGGGCCTCTAGCTTCGTTTCAGAATGGCTCTGTGTAGAAATGCTAAGGTTTTGGTGCTTCTAGTTCAAGTGGATATGCAAGGATGCTTTGTTGCTGCTGCTGCTGCTGCTACTGCTGCTGTTGCTGCATTAATAGAGGGGTTCACCCCGGGGGTTGCCTACGGACTTACTGCCGCAAAAAAACCCCCAAAACTGGACGACGAGTCAAACGACGACGACAACGACGACGTGCTGCTGCTGCTGTTTGCTGCAGATACGCAGCGGACCCGCGGACAATCATCTTGGCGGTTTTGCCTGCGAACGCGGGTGCGTCATTTGGCAGCAACGAATCAGCTGAATCAGATGCTTAAATTAAGTGATTGAACTGACTAATTAAATTAATTAATTGAATTGATTAATTAAATTAATTATTTAAATTAAATTAACAACTTAAAGGAGCTGAAGCCGAGTCATCTGCTGCGCCAAAGCGGCACGTCTGAGGTGTACAGACAGCTGCACGGGCGGTCCGTGGGAGTTCGGATTTTTTCGGTTTTTCGTTTTTAGTGGAATTAAAAGTTGAAATAAATAAAAACTGAGTTTATTTAAGAATATTAAATGAAAAATGGAAGCAAAATGAACTCCTTTTTGCCCTTTTCCGCCAGATATGTCCACTTCCGACGCGCTGCAGTTGGCCCGCCGCGTGGACCCGCGGGGTGTACGTACAATTGGAGTTATTACAAAAGTCGATTTAATGGACAGCGGAACTGATGCATGCAAAATGCTGCTGGGAGAAGAGATTCCCCTCAGACTTGGATACACAGGCCAGCTGCTGCTGCTGCTGCTGCTGCTGCTGCTGCTGCTGCTGCTGCTGGTGTTGCTGGTTGTGGCGGTGGTGCTGCTGCTGCAGCTGCAGGGTTGCTGCTGCTGCCGCGCTGCTACTGCTGCCGCTGCAGTGCTGCTCTTGCCGCTTGCTGCAGCTGCAGGGTTGCTGCTGCTGCCGCGCTGCTACTGCTGCCGCTGCAGTGCTGCTCTTGCCGCTGCTGCTGCTGCTGCTGCTGCTGACAGCCGCTCTCGCTGCTGCTGCTGCTGCTGCTGCTGCTGCTGCTGCAGGCGTGAAGAACCGCTCGCAGGCGGACATAAAGGCGGGGAAAAGTGTGCAGCGGTGTCTGGAAGAAGAGCGGCAGTACTTCAAGAGCCACGGGGTGTATGGACACATGGGGCAGCAGTACTGGGGCATTCCTTCTTTGGTGGAAAAACTCACAAGAGTTCTTTTTCTCCACATCAAACATGTTCTTCCCGAAATCCGAAAAGAAATCCAAACCAAGGCCAGGACTGTCCAGACCCGCATCCAGGAGCTCGGCGAGGTGGGACGCCCGCAGCAGCAGCAGCAGCAGCAGCAGCAGCAGCAGCAGCAGCGGCAGCAGCAGCAGCGGCAGCTTTGGAGCGTTAAGGGTTCTTTTAATAGAAAGCTTTGGGGCTTTTTGCTGCTGGCGCTCTGGGCTTTTCGCCCTCGGCTCTGGCTGCGCGGGGCCATCAAACGAATAATAATTAACCAGTTGCTGCTGCTGCTGCTGTTGCTGCTGCTGCTGCTGCTGCTGCTGCTGCAGGGAGTGCCTCTGGAGTCCCGCGACCGCGCGCAGCTGCTGTGGACGGCCATAACGGATTTTGTGGAAGTTATTAAAAGTGCCATTCGGGGCAAATACGACAAGCGCCTTCAGAAGTACTTCGACCAGGTGCTGCTGCTGCTGCTGCTGCTGCTGCTGCTGCTGCTGCTGCTGCTTGTGCTGCTGCTGCTGCTGCTGCTGTGTGCGCTGCTGCTGGCGTTCCAAGCGCTCGCGCTGCTGCTGCTTGAGCTGGTGGCGTCGCCGCTGCCGCCGCGTCGCGTGGGCGCGGGCGGCGGCAGCTGCTGCTGCTGCTGCTGCTGCGCAACTGCTGCTGCTGCTGCTGCTGCTGCTGCTGCAGGACCAGTGCCTGACCATTGGTTCGTGCATCCGGCACGAGTACACGAGCTTGCTGGAGGAGTACTGCGAACGAAATATCTCCGAAGACATCACTGACAGTCAAATTGAAAATGCAATTCGATTGCATGAAGGAGAATCTCTTCCGGGATTTCCTTCTCCTGACACTTTCGAACACCTCATTCTCCCCTACCTCAAGAAACTCTCGCCCCCCGTCATGGACTGCTTGGGTGCTGCTGCTGCTGCTGCTGCTGCTGCTGCTGCTGCTGCTGCTGGGGTGGTGGTGGTGCTGCTGCTGCTGGGGTGGTGGTGGTGCTGCTGCTGCTGGGGGGGTGGTGCTGCTGCTGCTGCTGGGGTGGTGGTGGTGGTGCTGCTGCTGGGGTGGTGGTGCTGCTGCTGTTGCGGCGGTGGTGGTGGTGGTGCTGCTGCTGGGGTGGTGGTGCTGCTGCTACCGTGGTGCTGCTGCTGCGGTGGTGCTGCTGCTGCTGTGTTGCTGCTACGGATGCTGTGCTGCGGCTGCTGCTGCGGTGCTTCTGTCGCTTGCTGGGTGCAGCTGCTGCTGCTTCTGCTGGGGGAAGCAAGGGCTGCTGCTGCGTTGCCGCTGCTGCTCCCGCTGTTCCTGCTGCTGCTGCTGCTCCAGTTGCTGCTGCTGCTGCTCTATTTGCTGCTGTTGCTGTTCCAATTGCTGCTGCTGCTGCTGCTCCAGTTACTGCTGCTACTGCTCCAACTGCTGCCGCTGCTCCAGTTACTGCTGCTGCTGCTCCAGTTACTGCTGCTGCTGCTCCAGTTACTGTTGCTGCTGCCCGAATCACGCTCCTGCCCCAACTGCTGCTGCTGCTGCTGCTGCTGCTGCTGCTGCAGAGCGAGTGGCGCAGACGTTGGAGAGTCTTTCGCAGCGCGTGGCGGAAAGAGTGTTTTGTCGCTTTCCAGCTCTTGCTGAAAGAGTTTTGGAAATTTCTCAAGAAATTCTTTTGAGAGAAAAAGAAGCAACGAGAGACATTCTGCAGCACGACGTAGACGCAGAACTCGGATACCTCTTCACCAACGACGAACGGTGCGTCAGCAGCAGCAGCAGCTGCTGCTGCTGCTGCTGCTGCTGCGTCAGCAGCAGCAGCTGCTGCTGCTGGTGCGGTAGCAGCAGCAGCAGCAGCGGCAGCCGCAGCAGCGGGTGCTGGTGCGGCAGCAGCAGCAGCGGCGGCACGTTTGCACCGTCCGCCGCGGTCCAGGGGCTTGCTGCTGCTGCTGCTGCTGCTGCTGCATGAGGCTGCTGCTGCTCTTGGGGTTGGTGCTGCTGCTGTTGACGCTGTTGCTGCTGCTGCCGCTGCTGGGTGAGCGCGTCTGCAGGTATCTGCAGGACCACGGCACGATGATAACGCAGCAGCAGCTGACGCTGGAGCAGCTGCAGCAGCAGCAGCAGCTGCTGCAGCAGCACCAGCAGCTAGGCATTGGCCCGGACGGCAGGCCGCTGCAGCAGCCCACTCACGCCGAGAGGGCGCAGCAAATGCTGCAGCAAGTTCAAAGCCAAATGTCCACTTTGTGGGCAAGCAAAGACAAGAAGAGACCTGTCTACAGCGGTAATTTGCTGCTGCTGCTGCTGTCGGTGCTACTGCTGCTGCTGCTGCTGCTGTTGCTGCTGCTGATGCTGTTGCTGCTGATGCTGTCTAATCGATGCTGCTGGTGCTAGTGCTGCTCCTGTGGCAGCGGGCGCAGCTGCGGGTTTAGCTGCTCTTGCTTTGGGTGCTGCTGCTGCTGCTGCTTGCTGCTGCTGCTGCTGCTGCCAGCAGTGATGGTCAGAAGTGTTATAGTTAGCTGGTGGACCAGCAGCGCAGCCACGAAGGGTCCTTATTACTGCTGCTGCTGCTGCTGCTGCTGCTGCTGCTCAGAACAATTCATCCAGGAGATCCGCCGGCGGCTGGACGCCTACTTCGGGCTGGTGCTGCACAATGTCAGGGACACAGTAAGTGCAGCAGCAGCAGCAGCAGCAACAGCAGCAGCAGCAGCAAACAGAAGGAGAAAGGGGTAGACAGCAAGAGACAATAGAGAAGCAGAAGACACAAAGAGGCACGCACAGCTCAAGAGAGAAACGCACGCAGCATCCGCGGCTTATTCCTGCTGCTGCTGCTGCTCTGCTGCTGCTCTGCTGCTGCTCTGCTGCTGCTCTGCTGCTGCTGCTGCAGGTGCCAAAGAAGATTGGCTTTTTCTTGGTTCGGCAGCTGCAGGACAAGTTGCAGTTTGAGCTTTACAACAAACTGAACGACGAGCAGCTCTTTTCGTCGCTACTGGGGGAGGTGCTTGTCTGCTGCTGCTGCTGCTGCTGCTGCTGCTGCTGCTGCTGCGGTGTTAATTCTTATCCCTTTTTGTTTTATTTCTCTTTCCTCAATTTCCTGCCTCGAGTTATCTTCTTTTGCTGTTTGCTTCTTCGCTGCTGCATGCGAGAGCCGCTGACTATCATAGTGCCCGTTTTATGTATTCTGCACTGCTGCTGCTGCTGCTGCTGCTGCTGCTGCTGTTGCTGCTGCTGCAGCCCTCGCACATTGTGGAGGAAAGGCGCGCGCTGACGTCTCAGCTGAACACCTTGAAGAAGGCAGCGGCGGTGCTGCAGCGGGACCCGCAAATTGCAGGTTAGACTCTGCTGCTGCTGTTGCTGCTGTTGCTGCTGCAGCTTTTGCTGCTGCTGCCTTTGCTGCTGATCCTTGTGCCTTTGCTGCTGGTGCTGCTTTCGCTGCTGCTGCTGCTCCTTTTCGTGATTGCGTGTTCCCCTCCTTGCGTCAGCAACTGAGTTACATCGCGCTGCGACTATCTTTGCTGCTGCTGTTGCTGCTGCTGTTGCTGCTGCTGCTGCTGCAGCCCTTAACTTTGACACCATTGACGCCATGTTTGACTCGGACCTGCGGGAGCTGCAGCGGGCAGCACCCAAGCAGCAGCAGCAGCAGCAGCTGGGCGTTTCGCTGACTTCTGGAGGCCCGCAGCAGCGGCTGCCCGCGCAGCAGCAGCAGCAAGCTCGCCAGCAGCAGCAGCAGCAGCAGCAACTTATGAGGCAGCAGCCGGGAACAAGCAGACTTTCCAACGGGCCGCCGCCTCCCCGTAAGCTTCATGCATTTAGGGTTTAGGGTTTAGGGTTTAGGGTTTAGGGTTTAGGCTCGAGGCGTCAAAGCCTATAGAGGCGAGAAGCACCCGGCGCTTCTACAGCTGTTTTCGCTTGCCAGCACAAGCGCTGCTGCCGCTGTTACATTTGCTGCTGCTGCTGTTGCTGCTGCTGCTGTTGCTGCTGCTGCTGTTGCTGCTGCTGCTGCTGCTGCAGCTGCCCAAGTCCAGGCCGGGGCGGGGCTGCCCCCTAGCAGCAGCCTGATGCTGTCTTCGCAGCAGCCGCCTGCGCCTGCTGCTCTAGCCCAGGGTGAGTTATTCGCTGCTGCAAACCCTAAACCCTAAACCCTAAACCCTAAACCCTAGCTAAAGAACTCGAGATCCTCCGCAGTAATTGGAAGCGAGAGGGCTCAAAAGTAGAGCTTCCCAGCTCTTCACTGTGTTTTGGCCGGTCGTATCCCTAGTTTAGGGTTTAGGGTTTAGGGTTTAGGGTTTAGGGTTTAGGGTTTAGGGTTTGTTCTCAGACGGAAGAGGCGCACCGAATGCACGCCACCTCTTCGAACGTCCAGTGATGTTTCAGGTGTGGCTCGATGCGAAGATTGGGGATTTAGGGTTTAGGGTGTAGGGTTTAGGGTTTGGGGTTTAGGGTTTAGGGTTTGGGGATTAGGGTTTAGGGTTTAGAGCTTACTTGGTGCGTGCGTGTGTGGCCACTCAGACTGCGTCAAACCCTTTGTTCAACGACTAGCTGCGTCTTAGGCCCAATAACCTCCTGAGAAACGCCTTTCAGGGTTTAGGGTTTAGGGTTTAGGGTTTAGGGTTTAGGGTTTGGGTTGGTGCAGTTTCTTGCTGGGCCTTGCAGTGTACGTACGCCTCACGGCCCTCTGCATGCAAAGCCATTCACACTGGAGGGAATCCGCTGCAGCAGCTTTAGCAGCAGCTGCAGCTTTAGCAGCAGCAACAGCTGCTGCTGCTGGGTTTGCTGCAGCCCCTCGCACTTTGCTGCTGCTGCTGCTGCAGCGGACAACGTGCCGCTGGCCAGCACTGAAGGCCGTGGCACAGAAAAGAAGCAGCAAATAATTAGAGTTGAATTGCCTCAGAGAGTTTGTTTAGGCAGCTAAACAGAAATAGCAGCAGCAGCTGCAGCAGCAGTAGTCCTGCTGCTGCTGTTCCGTTGGCTGCTGCTGCCTCTGCTGCAGCTTCAGCAGGCCGTCCTAGCTAGGAAAGGAGCAGCAGCAGAGTATGCACAGCGCAGCAGCAACAGCAGCACAGTAGCAGCAGCAGCAGCAGCAATCTATTCTGCGGAAATTTTGCCTGCTGCAGTGTATGGGCAGCTAGGGCTGCTCTTGTGGTGTATCTACACTTGCGTTTCTTGCTGCAACTGATGCTGCAGCAGCTGCTGCTGCTGCTGCTGCATCAAACCACAAAAGATTGCTGCCGGTGACCCAACGGAACACTCGGCCGGTCGCTGCGGACTCAGCAGCAGCAGCAGCAGCAGCAGCACAAATAGCAGCTGCGGAGCAGCAGCAGCAGCAGCAGCAACGCGCCGCAGTCTGTGTCTCACGTTTGCACGGCTGCTGTGCTGCAGGTCCTTCCCCAGCAGCTAGCCAGCAACCTGCAGCTAGCTGCTGCAGCAGCTAGCCGCTGCAGCTAGCTGATGCAGCAGCTAGCTGATGCAGCAGCTAGCCGATGCAGCAGCTAGGCGACGCTGCAGGTAGCCGACGCAGCAGCTAGCCGCTGCAGCAGCTGGCTAGCAGCTGTAACAGCTTGCTAGCCGCAGCAGCAGCTAGCTAGCCGCTGCAGCAGCTGGCCAGCCGTTGCAGCAGCTAGCTAGCCGCAGCAGCTAGGAGGCTAACCGGCACAGCTTGTCCCTACGGCTAGCTAGCTAGTTTGGCTAGTCACTGCAGCTAGCTGAGCTAGCCGCTACACCTGTGCTGCAGCTAGCTGAGCGTGCTGCTGCACTTGTGCTGCAGCTCGAGCTAGCTGCTGCAGCCAGTGCTGCAGCTAGCCAGTGCAGCTAATCGCAGGGGCTTTTTCGCCGTAACAGACTCTGTCAGTGCCGCAGCAGCAACGACAGCGCCTACCGCTGCTGCTGCTGCTGCTGCTGCTGCTGCTGCCTAGTGTTTCAGAGAAGCTACTGAGCTTTCAAAGCTGCAGCTGGTTCCCCCCAAAGGTCACTGGGGCCCCCCTGTGGGGTGTACGTACACCCCACAGGGGCACTGTTTTGTTGCCGCGGCCGTGTCGACCCCACACGCGGAGCAGCAGCAGCAGCAGCAGCTCCCGCCGCTGCTGCTGCTGCTGCTTGCTGCTGCTGCTCGCAGGCTGGAAGGTGTGGGGTCCCGCAGCCAAGGAGCAGCAGAAGTGACCCTCAGGCGTGTGGGGTGTGAGGCCCTATCTGGGTTCGGGTGTACGTACACCCCGGCTAGCTGCTGCTGCGCCCCACAGCCCAAGAGAGACTTGTGAACAACTGCGGGATCGGCTGGAGACGATCCCCAGTTGCTGCTGCTGCTGCGAGGCTGGCGAGACGGCCGCGGGGCGGGCTGGAGCTAGGGCTTAGGGTTTAGGGTTTAGGGTTTAGGGTTTAGGGTTTGGCGTGCTGCGCCCCAAATTAAGCGCGACGCAGGAAATAGGCGGGAGAGAAGCAGCTGGCAGCATTAACACACAATCTGGGGGAGAGATAGGGACAGGGACAAGCAGCAGCAGAAGCAGCAGCAGCAGCAGCAGCACCGGCAGCAGCATCAGCCCCTTGTCTCCCTCCGCAGCAGCAGCACGGCACACCCCGCTGCAGCAGCTAAAGCAGCGCCTGCTGCTCCCTTATGCATTTTTATTTCTTATATTTTTTTGTTTTATGGTTTTAGGTCTTTTCAGTTTGTGTGTGTCTTCCTAGGGCCGCCCGATTCGCCCAACGCAGTGGCAGCAGCAGCCATCGACAGCAGCAGCAGCAGCAGCAGCAGCAGCAGCGTGTGTCAGCGTGCGTGCTGCAACTGCAAATACACCTCACTGTCTCCCTGCCTGGCACGAATAGCTCAGCAGCATTTCGGTTCTATTCTGTCTCTTTCTGTCTCAAATAAGCAGCAGCAGCAGGCGCAGCAGCAGCAGCAGCTAGGTGGTCCATAGGGTTGGCTCCCCCCAGCCCGGCGCCCCCAGCAGCAGCAGCAGCAGCAGCAACAGCCCCAGCTGCTGCTGCAGGCCCTAGGTAAGTTGCTGCTAGTGTACGAACACCTCGAGCCACGCAGTGCGCGTTAGACACACAAAGCTTGTCTTTTGCTTCTCCCTTTGTCTTTGGCTGGGCAGCAGCAGCAGCAGCAGCAGCAGCGCCAGTGGCAGTCGCTGCGCGAAGACAAGCTCCCGGCTGCGCCTGCAGCAGCAGCAGCAGCAGCGGCAGCGGCAGCGGCAGCGGCAGTTTGTTCCTTGTGCCATTTCCCTCAGCAGCACTAAAACAGCAGCAACACACAGCAGCTGCAGCAGCTGCAGCGCAGCAAGGGGATAAGACTTGTTGCTGCGGTCCCTGCCCCGCCCCCCAGGCCTGCTGCTGCTGCTGCTCTTGCTGCTGCTGCTGTGCTGCCCCCTTCTGCTAGTTTTCTCGCCTCTTTTGTGTATTTTTTCTTCTGCCGTCCGTCTCCCAGCAGCTGCAGCAGCAGCAGCAGCAGCAGCAGCAGCAGCAGCGCAATCGACGCAGTTTCTTGTTGTTTCTCCTGCAGGTGTGAAGGCATATGCCATTTGTGGGTCCCTTAGCCACGTCTTCTCGCTGCAAAGTTAAAAGCAGCAGCCCCATTAGCAGCAGCAGCAGCAGCCCCATTAGCAGCAGCAGCAGCGGCAGCAGCAGCAGCAGCAGGTGAGAATGCCAAAGCCGTCGCTGCCCCACCTCCCTCTCAAAGACATCCGGCGGGCGCTTCTGCTCCCCTCGCAGCAGCAGCAGCAGCAGCAGCGGCAGCAGCCACAATGCCTGACTGCTGGCAGTGAGCCGCAGCAGCAGCAGCAGCAGCAGCAGCAGAAGCAGCAGGACCTCGACGCCATGCAGAGACAGCTTGGAGTAGTTACAGAGGCCGATCTGCTGCGGGCGCTGAAGCAGCTGGCTGAGTCCCCCGTCTTATTTGCCCCGCAGCAGCAGCAGCAGGAAGAGGCGCAGCAGCAGCAGCAGCTGCTGCTGCTGCAGGAAGCTGATGTTGCTGGTGGGGGCCCCTCAAGAAACACCCCTGACTATCCTCTGACGTGTCTTTGCCAGACGCAGGGCGTGGGTGGCTCTCGCGGGTGCAGCCGCTGCAGCAGCAGCAGCAGGCAGCAGCAGCAGCAGCAGCAGGCCGCCTCCAGCCGGACCCTGCACAAGAGAAACCAACACAGGCCGCAGCAGCAAGCGCCTGAGAAGCAGCAGCTGCAGCAGCAGCAAACGAACAGCCAGCAGCAACTGGCTGCGCCGAGCCGCCGAGTGGGGGGCCTCGGACGCAGCGCTGTGGAACAGCAGCAGCAGCAGCAACAGCAACAGCAGCAACAGCAGCAGCAGCAGCAGCAGCAGCAGCAATGGATTGACTTCGGAGAGGCTCTCAGCCTGCAGAAGCAGCTTGACGCTCTTATGCGCAACGCGCTAGAAGGTTTGGGGCCGGCCTCGGGGGAGAGCTCCCCGCAGCAGCAGGATTGGCAGCAGCAGCAGCAGCAGCAGCAGCAGCAGCAGCAGCTGGGAGGCGGCATCGGCAGCAGCAGATTCAGCCACTACACCTCCGGGGATGTAACCCCCACCAGCAGCAGCGACTGCCGCACTCCTCAGGGCACGGCTTTCTCCATTGAGTCCCCAGGTGTTGCTGCGCTGCAGCAGCAGCAGCAGCAGCAGCAGCAGCTCGACGGCCTGGGAGATCCAGCAGCAGGAGCCCTCCAGGGGACAACAGCCGTTGCGGTAAGTGTTGCTGCTGCTGCTGGGACTTTGCTGCTGCTGCTGCTGGGAAGTTTGCTGCTGCTGCCAGGAGCTGCTGCTGCTGGGAGGTTTGCTGCTGCTGCTGCAAGCTTTGCTGCTGCTGCTGCTGCTGCTGCGCTCGTGCTGCAGCTGGCGCTAAAGGCCCGGGAGCTGCGCGACGGGCTGCTGGAGGAGCTGCAGCAGCAGGGACTTTCTGCTGAAGCAGCAGCAAATAGAGCAGCAGACATTTTATGTGCTGCTCTCGCTTTGACTCGACCCAACGCCAAGAATGAAACAGGCAAAAACTTCCTCTCATGGCTACAGGGTGAGCAGCAGCAGCAGCAGCTGCTGCTGCAGCAAGAGCTGCTGCAGCAGCAGCAGCTGCTGCTGCAGCAAGAGCTGCAGCAGCAGCAGCACTTTGTCGCTTGCGTGCTGTCTCGCGTCTCGGCCGTGTCTCGCGTGGCGCCTTCTGTCTGCTGCTGGTTTGCCGCTGCTCGCTGCTGCTGCTGCTACTTGCTGCTGCTGCTCGCCGCTGCTGCTTGCTGCTGCTGCTTTCTTGCTGCTGCTGCTGCCTTGCTGCTGCGCAGCTCGCGTGAGCTGCCGGCTGCTGCGATTCCGCGCACTGCTTACCCGCGTTCCTGAGCCGCAACCGCCGCCGCTGCTCTGCCGCTGCCGCTGCTGCTGCTGCTGCTGCTGCTGCTGCTGCTGCTGCAGGTGTGGGCGGCCCGAACTTTGCTGCCCCCACAATGTTGGCGCATCCTGACGAGTTTCGAAACCCCTCATCGTTTTTGAAGATCTATGGCGACCCTATGTGCTGCCTGGAGCAGCAGGCGCAGCGGGGGGGGGGGGCCCCCCGGGGGCCCCCCGGGGGGGGGGGGGC